TTATGTTATGTTATGTTGTTATGTTATGATATATTATATTATGTAATGTTATGTTATATTATGTTATGTTATGATATATTATATTATATTATGTTATGTTATATTATGTTATGATATATTATGTTATGTTATGTTATGTTATGTTGTTATGTTATGATATATTATGTTATGTTATGTTATGTTGTTATGTTATATTATATTATGTAATGTTATGTTATATTATGTTATGTTATGATATATTATATTATATTATATTATGTTATGTTATGTTATATTATATTGTTATGTTATGATATATTATATTATGTTATGTTATATTATGTTATGAGCCTCAGTGATTTCTTAACCAGGAGCTTTCAGTGTTAGCAGAATGATGTTAGCACTACAGCAGAGACATCGAGGACAAGTCAACAGTGGATACTAGTGATGACTTTTAGTTGGAACATTAACACATTCAAATTAACTTGTGTGGTTACAGCCAATCAGAACTGAGTATCCTCCTCACATCATTTACATATCAGACCCTCCCTTATATATTTACTGCTTGCCCTGAGGGATTCTGGGTAAATTCCAGTTCCTTCCTTTCCTCAAGGCTTCAGAACACAATGGTTCAGGTTTCTGTGTGAAGGCGGGTCCTCATATATCAGTAGTACACATATATTTGTAGTACACATGTATGAGTAGAGGCTTGGAGGGTACAGTTATGCTTTCAGTCTCTTTTATGCCTCATCAGGAGGTTGTGGAGGTTTCGTTGTGTGAATATCATCAATAACACACAGAACAGCAGCAGCTCTCACAGCTGACAGCAGAGACTAATGTGTTTCTATTGTTGGCTCACATTATGTTTCTCCAGCAGGAATGCAAAGGAGATGTATGGACAACGTTTAATGACAATAAAGAGATTAAAAACAATGTGTTTCTCTGTCCTGTTTTCTTTCCTGCTTTTCTTTTCCTTTTCTTTATCCCTCCATCTCTGTGTCTGCGCTCACACCCCACCCTGCTAGTGACATTAGCTCCCGCCTTCGCCTGCGACAGGCCAGGGGAAACCCCACAACAGTATATGAGCAGGCAGGCGTGCTGCTCTTAAAGGTCATGGCATGTCTCCTGTAAGACACCCGCTGTGTTAGACAGTGTGTGTGCAGATGGACAGATAGCACATAACAAGTGGACTGACCCTCTGCGCTGGACTGATATGTGCCAGGCCAAGAATGATGGAGGCTGTGAAGGGACAAACCATGGGCAGCCCCACACTGCTGGGTCTGTTCTCTCTGTGGTGGTAGAGGTCAGAAGCCGCCATCTTTGTTTTGTTTTTTAGTTATTTTTTTGGGCTTTTTGTGCCTTTAATGGACAGGACAGTAGAGAGACAAATGGGGAGGCAGAGAGAGGGGGACTGACACGCAGGAAAGGGTCGTCCGATGCAGGAGTCGAACCGGGGGCCAGCTGCAGCGAGGACTGTAGCCTCTATATATGGTCTATATATGGGGCGCCTGCGTAACCCACTGCGCTACGCGACCTCCATCTTTGTTTTATGTTAAGTAATGAGCTGGACTGTGACCGGTTAACTCCTCTCAGTGGAGGCTGATTACAGCAGCCTCCGTTATTTCAAAAGTCAGCATTCAAACCTTCAGTGTTTTATTCCACCTGTGTACACTGGGGGAGCTGCAGATGTTACTGTCATGAACACAGTTTCCTGCAGACTGATGAATATTCATTCATTTTCATAGTGTCAGCTTTTCTCATGAAGAGGTGACCTGATGAACTACAGCAGTTCACATCAGCAATATGTGGCTTTTATAGGAATTATACACACATACGGTAGCACCAACCATCAGTATAAACCACCACACTATCACTATCATTCACTTTGCTCAGCACTTCTTTTAAATGTCGTAGTATCGATGTCTTACTGATTTTATGCTTTCTATAGAATCACTTTTTAAATTATTATTTATTTATTATTTTCTATTATTATTCAATCTCATTTAAAATGTATGTTTTTAATGTTTTATGTTCATTTTGTCTTTTCATGTGAAGCACTTTGTGCATGTAATTTCTTTGTGCTACATTTCTTGTATGAAAGGTGCTGTACAAATGAAGTTTCTTATTATTATCATTATTATTATTGAACTACAACAGTAATTAAAACCTTTTAGAAACTTAGATTCACCTGTGTGGAGATCCTTCAACCTGTAACTGATGGAACTGTACTTGACTGAACTCTTAATATTTCTACTCCTCTGTTTATGTAAACTATGTAAATGAACACAATTTAATTTAACCCCCCCCACAAAGTCCAGCCTCAAACAAATGACTGCGGCAGTAAATGTCATACAGGGACACTCATTCAGTGTCATAAACACATCTTTATCAAACACACTCGTCATCTCTGCAGTGACAGTAAAACACTGTCCTCTCTCCTCTTCCAGTCGAAACTCACTGAAACACACTGACCCCCCCTTTAATGACCCAGCTCAGGTTCCCGCCTCCTACCTCTCTATGA